ACTGAACCCGACAAGATAAAAATGAGACGAAAGTATAAAAACTGCCGCAAGTCTCTTCTGCTAAATTATTATATCATTATCCAATTCCAGGAAAGGCTCTGGACAGAGACATATATTTCTGAACAGGAACAAAAAGAGATTTATTTTTAAACACATATGGAAAAATTAGCTTGCAACCATTTACCTTCTGAACTTTGCCAAAGGGAAATTGGATTAAAAATGTTGTTTTGGTGCTCATTGCTTAGCAATGCTGCACTTCCCTACATTTTCCTACATTTTTGGTTGGGGAGTGTGTAAGCAGGGTTCACTTGGTGGTCCATTTAAGTGTATTACTCCTTTAAAATCCTTCTAGGAAGGAGAATAATTTCACTTGTTTTCTGGCAGGATCTCTCAAATAGCTTGGATAGAGCTGAGCTCAGGGTAGTTGCTGGCTATCGGAAGAAGGATGGGAGAGAGCATCATCTAGGGACTGAGATTGATTCTTAATACTTTCCCCTGGAGGAGACTCCCCTGAAGCTGTGCACAGGCGGTACACCACCACACTCACTGAGACATGAATGGAGGATGCAAAGCATACAGGACTGAGAGAACGTTTACTACTCTATTAGAACTGCAAATGTTATATTAAAAGTGCGCTGGACTGAACCTCTGACTGCTTTATGTGTCAGAAGTGGTTTCCCGTAACCTTGCTGCTCAGTATGGGGAAAACATTATGTCGGGCTAAACTATACAGTGCATACCCTAGATCAGGGGTGTCAAACTGGTGGCCCTCCAGCTGTTGCCAAACTACAAGTCCCATCATGCCTCTGCCTTTTGGAGTCATGCTTGTAACTGTCAATCTTGCAGTGCCTCATGGGACTTGTAGTTTGGCAACAGCTGGAGGGCCGCCAGTTTGACACCCATGCCCTAGAGCAGCAATGGGCAAACTACGGCCCGGCGGACCTTTTAATCCGGCCCGTGGAGCGTGATGCTGTCAGGATGTGTGTAGGCGGGGCAGCTTGACGAACGTGAGGGGAGCTAGGCTCCTCTCGCAGTCCGCCCTGAAGACCAGAATGGCGCGGGAACATGGCGAGAGGAACGCGCGGAGCAAAGGTAAGTGAATGAATTACTATGGGGGATGAATTACTATATGGGGGATTAATTACTATGGGGGATGAATTACTATATGGGGGATGAATTACTATGGGGGATGAATATCTATATGGGGGATGAATTACTATGGGGGATGAATTACTATGGGGGATGAATTACTATATGGGGGATGAATTACTATGGGGGATGAATTACTATATGGGGGATGAATTACTATGGGGGATGAATTACTGTATGGGGGATTAATTACTATGCTTACTATGGGGGAATATTACTATACTTACTATGGATGACACATACACATCATTCATCTACTCTTGGTCCGGCCCCCGGGTCCAATATATGAACCCATTGCGGCCCTCAAGTCAAAAAGTTTGCCCACCCCTGATCTAGGGAATAGGCAGAGAGAGGGGCGCTATCTAGAAACTGGAAGAAACCTTCAGGCCTGAAGTATCTCATATCCCCGGCATGGAGACCTGCTTTTGTCAAGGGAGACCAGGAGCATGGTGAGTGGGCTTTACAGTTCAGCCCCATGTCAGTGGCACACCATGCATGTGGATGGCATGCAGACGTGTAAATCTGCAAGGGCTCTGGTTGCTGCTCATGGCCAGTGAGTTAATCTGGATGAGCCCTGTGTGCTGGGCAGGCCCCGAGGAGCAAGCAGTGGGAAGTTGTTATTCCGGTCAGGAGTGCACATGTCAGAGTGGCTCTAGGAAAACCCTGCAAGGTAGTAGAGACACCCTGCAAGGGAAAATTATAGACACTAAACTTCACAAAGCCAATATTGCTGCAAAGAATGGATGCTCATAAAAATTGACAGGAAAAAAGCAATAAAATAAGATATTCTAGCATATGTAATTTTTTTTATCATTGAAGTCTAACATTTCAGTTCCTTGATCACAATGGTGAGGTGGGCCCAGCAAAATAATATTTGCTCCTGAACCACTTATGTGTTTATGTGAGCCAGCATCAAGACAACTAAAAGGCTGCCATTGATCAGACCCACAGAATCACCGGCACGGTAGTACATTGTGACAGGTGAGCACTTTCTGTTAGTTAGGGCCCTTGTGCTTCCATCCCATAGAATATGCCAACGGCCTCCATACATCCTGGAGAGTGTCACATTAGCAGCGCGCCTCTATTCCCAGTATTACCCTTCCATCATTTTCCTATTACCCTCTCTCTATGTTCGAAACCTAATAGTCACAGAGAACCTAATGAGTACTGAAGACGGCGGGAACGGTTGTACCGGCTCATTTTGTTTTATGGGACAAGGCCTCAGTCGTTCACGTACACATCGCTTTCTGTTCTCCAAGAAAGAACTCAACAGGAAAGACTCCAGGGAAGGTGCAGAAACTCTCTCAGACCATGACTGACTTTATATAATAAGGAAAGAGTCAAGTGGAAAGAGCCAGTATTCATACTGCGTCCTGCATACACACGATCGCAGGGCGGAACAATCAATCAGGTGTTGAATTATCTCAGTCTCTCTGAGGGTATACATGTATATAGAAAAACACAAAATCATTCTTGAGACAGAACAAATACCAAAAGATTAAGGCAGAGATTTGTCGCAGGGTGACAAAACTGCTGCGTGATTTCCAGGGCTTTTCTGCTCAGAGAATAGGTGCAGGAACTCCCCCCTATCGAGTCAAATCTTGTCTCAGCCCCCTACCCACCTCTGAGCACCGTTCCTTGGTTCCACCCCCTACCCACCTCTCAGTACCTCCCCTTTTATAGAAAACAGACCCAGGTATTATTTTGTGGTGCTAAGTAATTTGTATGGAATTTGGTAATGACAGCAAGAAAAGCAGTACAATAGATCTCCTGCAGACAGTGACAATAGATCCCCCTCCAGCCACATTAGACCTTCCCACCAACAATAGACCTCTCCACAACAAAATACCCCTCCAGCAACAATAGATCTCTCCAAGTATCAATTGACTACCCAGCAACACAATACTCATCCTCAGCAACAAGAGATCCCCCACCAGCAACCATAGACCTCCCCAACAATAGGCCCCCTCCGCAAAAATAGATCTTCTCCAGGAACAATAGATCCTTCAGAAGTCAAGATCATTAGATTCTCCAGCACACCACCGCATCCCTTGCCATTAAATACATCCAGCGCTGGAGGTACCAGAACTGCGTTCCCCTGTGTCCCCACTGAAAAAAAGTCCTGGTGATTTCACTGCGGGAAGAACAGCATTGTCAATGGTAAAGGAAGTGGAAATATACTTTATCTACTGGAAGGATCAACAGGTAATAAAATGATGTTGAAGGGAGACCCAGAAAAAACAAAAACTGCTGTGTTAAAAAGGAAGTATGTCTGAAGCTTTTTTAGTCATACCTCTCTTCTGGGTCACAGAAGTACACTTACTTTTACTGTCTTGTGACACAGCTGTCAGATGACATCACAGAGCCGCTTCCGGCTGTGGAAGGATCCTGACATTATTGTCAGGATCCACCCAGCTGCCTGACTGACAGCAAGTGGCTGAGAGTTGATGCAAACTCAGCCCGCCCCCTTACCAGCCTGCAGTTCCAGTGAATGCTGGAGGGCTGTGACTAACAAATCCAAGAACTAAGTGATCAGCGGTCATGTGATTGCTCAATTCTCAGGCTTAGAGTGAGAAGCACGGAGGTGAATTAGTAAATTTTAAGCCAAGATTTCCTTCTATCTGGGGCTATATTAGAGAGATTAACCCCCACATCCTGTCCTGCTGACATATGTAAGGGGAGATCAGCAACAGGGAGACAGAGAAAAAAAAAAAACCTGACAGAGGAGGTTTAACCTTCACCTACTGTACTGAAGAAAAGCATTTTTATTTCTGTCTGTGTTGTTAGAGAGTTCTCCTCACTTCTTCTCTGGTAAAACATCAGCAGGGCAGGATGTGCCCTGGAGAGTAGTACTAAGAAAAAAGAGTTTCAGCTGAGCATACTCAATGCTAGTAACAAACTATATTATACATCATTTTTGCACATAGAAAACACAGAACTCTCCTTGAAAATGGCTGCTTTAGAGCTACAGGGATGCACAACCAATGTAGCAGCCAGCAGCAGGCGTTTGACACACCAGGAAGTGTACGATGTTTCTCTCGGTGCTTCAGGCTCGTTTGTAGAATTGTTTGAAGATTCTATTTACGTACCTAAACGTCTCTGCCCGTAGAGACAAGAGTAGAGGTTTGGAGAAGAGTCCATCTCTAAAAGATAAACTTAACCCATGGTTCTCTTATTGCAACCTTTGCTCATTCTAGTCTACATTTCTCGTGTGTCTTGTCTGCCTGCTACAGAATACATTTCTGCATGGATGATTGTGTGTGTGTGAGAATGCCGCAGACTATAATTACAATCACTCCTAAACAAGGGTTATTCCAGCCACCAAACTGTGTATGTGTTTCCTGCGCGGGAGTATCTGGATTTCACAACTTGATTGCAAATACTCCTGATCACCCACCAGACAACACTCCATCTCTTCCGCACACAAATGCACTTGATTCCTATGCTGATTGCTGAGTGTGGCTATTTCATTAGAGGGTTCTGTCTGGGACCCGTCTCCTGTTATGCCTTTAATAAGAACAGTTGATTAGGGTCCCTGTCAATGGCTTTTCTGGGAATGACGAGGCTTAATAGATGGGGAGTTTTGCAGCTGGAGGAAGTGGGCAGAGCCCCAGGCATAAGAGGCTTTCTTGAGATGCTGCACCATGTTGGCTAAAATCCATACACATCAGGGCCGGATCTAGCCTCCCTGATCTGGGGGTGCAGTAAATAAAAGTCAGGGGGCATAATGACAACACTGTGCGAGTCACTGACAGCCTGTCATACAGTGTAACGACCTGGGAAACATTAGTATGTATTAGGCTGTCATTGGATTAGGGTGATTAAACAGAGCCTGTGCCCCCTTATATCAGGTGTACCTATCAGAGCCCGCATTTACATCAGGAGTCCTCATCAGAATACCCCTTTATTTCAGATTCCCATCAGAGTACCCCCTTATATCAGGGTCTCCATCAGTGTGCTTCCTTACATCAGGGTCCCCATTAGAGTATCCCCCTACATCAGATGTCCCAATCAGAGTTCCCTCTTACATCAAGCCTCCCAATCAGAGCGCCCCCTTACATCAGTGTCCCCATCAAAGTGCCCCCTTACTTTTGATCAGTTATCCTCATCAGAGTGCCCCCTTACATCAGGTATCCCCATCAGAGCGCCCCCTTACATCAGTGTCCCCATCAAAGTGCCCCCTTACTTTTGATTAGTTATCCTCATCAGAGTGCCCCCTTACATCAGGTATCCCCATCAGAGTGCCCCCTTACATTTGATTAGTTATTCCCATCAGAGTGCCTCCTTACATCAGGTATCCCCATCAGAATGCCCCCCTTACATCAGGTATCCCCATCAGAGTGCCTCCTTACATCAGTGTCCCCATCAGAGTGCCCCCTTACATTTGATTAGTTATCCCCATCAGAGTGCCCCCTTACATCAGGTGTCCCCATCACAGTGCCCCTTTACATATATTGTCCCCACAGTGCCTCCTTACATCAACTGTCTGCTTCAGACAGACTATTGGATCAGTGAATGCACTCTCAGAGACCTGGGGGGGCATGACTAAAATATGGGGGGCACAGCCCACCCCAGCACTCCCCCTATATCCGGCCCCGATACATATCATACATCTCTACAATCTACCACTGGAATGTTAAATGTACTCAATTTGCAGAGTAATGTGGGGGCCATATCTGTTATCAGTTGTGGCAGAATGCTGTCTCCAGATAGTTGTATGTTAAAGTGTATAGAAACCCTGACAATGAACTTCTCTTATTTACTACCATTACACTTTAGGGCAGGGGTCCCCAAACCTTTGCAACAGTGTACTCCCCTTTCAATATTAGGGGGGAGGAAGACTGTGGCCAGAGGAAGTAGAAAATGCCCTGGTATTGATGGGAGTATACAATGCCATAGGCATGGTGGTCAGTGGGAGTAAAATAAAAATGAAATTATTGATGTCAATGGGAGAAGTAGTTCACAGCCTCTGGTATCAGTAGGAGGAATAGTACCCCATTGATGGTGTCAATGGGAGGAATAGTACCCTATTGATGGTGTCAGTGGGCGGAATAGTGCCTCATATCAGTGGAAGGAGCAGTTCCCCAAGTGCCAGATAAAGGTAAGCAAAGGGCCACATCTGGCCCTCGGGCCACAGTCTGGAGACCCCTGCTTTAGGGTCTCGTCTTTCCCCAGCCTGTGACTGGACAGTGAAAGGAGGAGCAGCAGACTAATTAGCTCATCTCTGTCACTCTGCTCTGTCTTCCAATCAGCATGTTTCTTGTCAGCACATGAGCACTGCAGCACACCTGATTGGCTCCTTGTGTTGCTCTTCCTCTCAGTCCAAGCTGTCCTGTACAGTGGACTGCAGAAGGCTCATACCACGTCACATTTTAAAAAATACACTAATATTAGGAAGGGCATTACAGTAACTTACCTGTTGAAAGCTGCTATCTGTGAGGAGAGAGAGAGCCAACAGAAGCTCTGCTCTCATGCACATCGTTGGATCAAGATCAGGCTCAGGTATGAATTAGATGAAGCACAGCACCCTGACAGCATTTTTCCTTAATGCAGAGAATGCAATAAAGTACAAAAAACCTTCAGGCTTCAGAACAACCTTAAAGCAAAACTCCAGGTATGATGTGGAGAGGTGGGGCAGTGATGTCATGATCTCCACCTCATCAAATCAGAGAATGTCTTGTATTCATTGAAAAAATACAAGGCGTTCTATGAAGGACAACCCTCCTGAGGTCAGTGTGCAGAGAGGAAACTGGCTGCACAGGACCCAGAAGATCACGGCTATCACTGTAGTAGTGCGGGCTACTACAGTGATTGTCAGTACCTTCTCTTCACTTTCCTTCTACTTTAATGGTTTTTGTAATGAACGCGTACATGGATTGCTGCCTTTTTTTGTCTGACGTTTAGCCTTAAAAACTAGAATTTTCTGCTGTACGACAAACACGTGGCCTTCAATATGAAATCAGGTTTTAGTCACTTTTGCTGCATATTATTTTGCTGCAATGTTACGTTCAGCAGCTCGGTTCACATTTAAACATAGCCGGTTTTAGTCATTCTCCCCATTCATCTTGTGCCACAAACTATAAGTCCCTAAGACAAGGAATGCAGAATAATCCATACGTGCCACATTGACCTTTTTTTGTAAAACTGCTAAATGTGTTCCCAGTTCCCAACACCAATGGCTGGCAGCTGGGAAGAAGTGTACCTCTGTGGTAACAGTGTGAAATGCAACGGTCACCGAGGCATCATTGGCTCTCATTACAGCCCCACACATGACCATGAAAATTTAAAGCCGCATAGGCTACAGATGTTTCTAATGAGATAACTCCGCTTTACAAGTCACCATGGAGCTTGGGGAACTTTGCAAACCAAGGCAGCGCCAGCAGTAATGAAGGACTCTGCCTGTGAGGCTTGTGGGAATTCCCAGCAAGCTCCTTTCCTCGGTGTGTTCCCTGAAGCCATAACAATAATTAATGATCTGTGTGTCGGCTGTGCACAGCCTGCCAAGCGCTGCATTAAACAGTAATATTCCATCCATTGCAAAACTTCCCAGCCTTCATTTATTTCCTATTTACAAAGCAGTTAACTCTTCCGGCTCCTCCGCACGCCTTCCACCACCCATCAGAAAATTGTATGGAAAACACTTCACCTGGCACATGTTTCTCTCTCACTATAACATACATCTTGGTGGCAAACACCCATGTTACCAAGCATGGAAATTCATTATATCTGCCGTCTCGGTCTAGTAATAACAATAATGCACTCACTGTTAGATATCAAACAAGTCATGTGCTGTGTGTCCAAAGGGTTTTTGCTAGCCATGGGTAGGCAGTTGTCTCCTTGGGACGCCCTTAACGAATGGCCAGCTACTTGCCATCCATGTTGTTGGGACCCACCAGATCTCATCTAATAGACTACGGTGGGGCACACCTTCCTTTTCTTCCCTCTATTGCAGAGGTGTTCAACCTTTTGAAGATCGAGGGCCACTTAATATTTAACAACCAGTAATGGGCCACAATGAAATGAAATGGTTCAGAATTTCACTTTTCTTTTTTAATTTTGAAGAACGTAATGAACATTTTCCTCCTGCAGTTGCTGAATGCCGGCAGGAGGGAGAGGAGAAGTCGGCTTTCAGTGGTTGCAGGAGGAAAATGCAGAGGATAGGTTTCTATATATGCCATCCTCACCTCCCCTCCTGTCCAAGAGTAAGTGCTGGGTCACACAGAATGCGGATTGGATGTGGTCTGGACTGCATTCATTCAGCATGACATGTGAAATAATATTGTTCACACATATGTCCGGTGCACTGGCGGTGCAGATTCAGTGCGGAATGAAAAAGAGTCCTGTCCAATTTCTGAGCAGTGTGGTCCAGTTCAGGTGCAGATTACAGGCTATTGACTTCTATGGGAACCATTTCTAAACCGCACGTGTGTGAACAGGATAAAATCCTGACTGGAACCTGTCCTGAACCTGATGTAAACCTGACATGAACCACTGAACAACTACTGTGTCAATTAGCTGTGAACCCTGAGCTTCAATCTGCACCACACATGTGTGAATCAGCTCTAAAACAGAATGTAAAAGGGAGGCCGCACGAGGTCCCAGGAGCTTGGGGCGGGGTCACCATTGCATCCCCTGACACTACACCAATGGTTGAAGTGGTGTGGTAAAAACACATCTCAACTATGGGATTTAACAAGCCGCAAATGTAAATGAGCCTATATTGTGCAGAGCCCCCTATCAGGCTGCTTTCATACTCATGCGCTCACAGTGCACCTTCGGTTTTCCTGCGGGTTAGCTACACTTTACCATAGACTTCTATTATATCTTGCAGGTGTAATGCACTTTTAGAAAGCGCACCAAACCCGCAGGCTATAATAGGAGCATGCTTCCCTGGTTTGAGGTTGAGGGGCATATGCGGGCTACAGGCTGGGCATCTATGCTCTACTCTATGGCAAAGTCACACTGAGATATCCCGACTTATTGGAAAATCTTTGTTTTATAACATGACAGCCCCAGGTCAGAAACATTCATTATCGCCTCCTAGGGGTACCCCTAAACAGACCAATCCTCACTTATGAAATGCACTGGTCCATTGGGCTGCAGTGGGATGAGGCTGTTTTTTCCAATCTCTACTCACTATGGCTATATGAACCCAACAAAACACTTCCTTTACTGGTCCCTTTTGGTTTGTTACACACACACCAGGAAAACATTTTGTTAGATCACTTTTATTAGTGTAAAAAATGCCAATTGATCCTGCCATCTTGTTAGCTGATAACTTATTTTTGCTCTCAGCCTGTGTTGCAGTCTTATTAGCTACTAACTATGCCCAGTTACCCCTGAGAACTACAGAACACCTCCCCTCTATATTTTGGAGAAGTGGTAAATTGGGCTAATAGAGGCAAGGCAACAGACCCATTTACAGAGTCTGGGATTTCATCCACACTGATAAACAATGGAGTCTAAGTCTCTGATGCTTTGTTAGATTGCCTGTCTATTACGACTGGGTCGGCCCTGTTGATTTTTGTAAAGAGCCTCCTACTTTCCTTATTTATTATTTTTCTAAGCCATATTTATAAATCCACATGACAAGGAAGTCAAGTGATTTAAACAGCATCCTTTTCACTTCATCCTCCCCGTCCCCCTTAATATCAGGTGGCTGACATTCATTCCTTAGAGGAAAAACACTCGGCGCTGAAAACGTAATCAATGAGCAACCAGGAAAAAGCCATCATTGTTTAATCACTATTTCTCAATGACTGAGCAAATTCATATTCCAATATTAGATAATCAGTCTTCGCAGCAAGCAAGGGCCATAAATCTTATTCCATTTGTGTCCCTTGGATTTTAATCAAGTGTAAAAAATTCTAGGAAGCGTTTCCTGTTCCTATTGAATTTTCCGATCGCGTTCACTCGTCCGTGAGACACTGCCAATGACTGATTTGTAAACTATGATTGGGTCGATTCAAACATGTATCGTTTAATTAATTTCCTGTTTAGTTGTTGTACAGGAGGTGTCATATATGCTAATCAATCATGACGGCAAACATCTGTCTTTACCATGGCTTGTATGTTTCGTTTCCACTGATCTTATTGGTGGAAAATGCTAAGTCAACTCGTTCACCCAACCAACAAGGCAATGCTGCTGAATGGCCCCCAATCAGCCTGTGAAAATGTAGGCATTCCTCGACTTCAGCTCTGTGCTCTTTCATATCAGGCCTGTTCATTTGGTGGGAGTGCTGGTCCAGAAGGGATATGAATTGGTATTACTGCAAATCCTTAGGTAAGGGCGACTCCTCTGTAAATGTTCAGTGTGTATGATTTATTATTTTTTTATAGGGACTTCTATAG